GATATTTTTGTGATCTCTGCTGACTTCGTTGTTGGTTTTTTAAATCATGAGAAGAGTTTCTTTAGAATCTTGCGTGTTACACAAATATTTCCTGAAACATGAAAAATGACATGAAAAAAGACAAAACGTTCTCATGAATCCAGAAATTTTATGTTGCGCATTCAAATGTCGTGTTTGAATTCTTTTTCTATTTAAACTGAGACATCACATTGACATCTAGAAGTCTAAACCCCGAGTCTTTCACAATGCAGATTTTTATGATAAAAATTCTTTAAAAACGACAAAAATTGGACCGTCAATCTTTCTTGATTGTCAGATTGATAACTAACGAAAAAAATAACACATTTAAAATTAGTTCGTAAAACTACGCTTTTAAAATTTTGTTGTTAAATATAAAGGTTTTTTTTTAATTCTACACTTGCTAACAATTGAAGGCAGATCTCTCCAGAATAAAAAAAATCGTAAATGGCAGACAAGGAAAGCAGGTTGGTCAGCAAGTTGCACAGAAGGTTTCTTCCAAAAATTGCGCCAAAAACATCAAAATAATTTCACCCAAAAAAATTGAAATTTCACTGCGTAATCTTCTATAATAAGCCTAAAATAGGCAAAAAAACTAAGATGGCCAAAAATAAATCAGAAACAAATTTCACTAAAATTTAAGTTTTTTTTTCAAATTATTTTTGCAGATTTTGTTTCAAATTTTTGAAAAGTTTCATTCAAAGTCTGTTTTTCTCCTTAGCACTTCGTGATCGCAACAAAATAGTTTCCGAGGCCAATTGCAGAAAAAATGAATGGTTAATTGTAGCATCTAGAACCAAAATCACAATGAGGTCTCTTCAAACACTTTTTAAATATGTTCCAATTTTTTTTCGGAGATGTACGTCAATTCTAGATGTAATAATAAGAACGTTGCCAATAAAAAACCAGTTTGAACTTCATGAATGCTTTGATGAGATCTCAAAGGGGTTGAAATCTTGCTAAATTGTTTTTTGAGCGATTAATTTTAACAATTGACAACCTTGCCTTGAAAGTGACTGTGGCTATTTATACAATTGTCAAAATTTTTAAAACACCATGATTGATTAAAGAGCAATTATGATTAAGTTTTGAGCATGATTTTAGTCAAAGCTACCATTTTTAAAATTAAACGCAGTGTTTTGGACATAATCTCATTGTAGTGCAGAAACTTCCAGTGTAATGGACAATTCTCAGATGTTAGCAGAATAAATTTAGCGAAAAAACTCAAATTTTTAGTACAATCAGTAAATTTTCTAGCTTAAGCACTCAAATTGATTTGGGGCACAAGAATTGCAACTTCAGCCCAGAGTTTATAGAAGAAACATTTATGGGCGGCATAAATATCTTGTCAAGTCTAATAAAGTACAGTTGTTATCTAGCAAATATCTAACAAGATCCTAACTAGATAGCCATGTTATTGTATATGGTAAATACAAAACTGAACATGAATTTGGAAACAACTACAGCTATCCTTTTTTCTTTTTAGATTAGTTCTGATATTTTTGTGAGCTCTGCTGACTTCGTTGTTGGTTTTTTAAATCATGAGAAGAGTTTCTTTAGAATCTTGCGTGTTACACAAACATTTCCTAAAACATGAAAAATGACATGAAAAAAGACAAAACGTTCTCATGAATCCAGAAATTTTATGTTGCGGATTTCAAATGTCGTGTTTGAATTCTTTTTCTATTTAAACTGAGACATCACATTGACATCTAGAAGTCTAACCCCCGGGTCTTTCACAATTCAGATTTTTATGTTAAATATTCTTTAAAAACGACAAAAATTGGACCGTCAATATTTCTTGATTGTCAGATTGATAACTAACAAAAAAATAACACCTTTAAAATTAGTTCGTAAAACTACGCTTTTAAAATTTTGTTGTTAAATATAAAGGTTTTTTTTTTAAAATTCTACACTTGCTAACAATTGAAGGCAGATCTCTCCAGAATAAAAAAAAATCGTAAATGGCAGACAAGGAAAGCAGGTTGGTCAGCAAGTAGCACAGAAGGTTTCTTCCAAAAATTGCGCCAAAAACATCAAAATAATTTCACCCAAAAAAATTGAAATTTCACTGCGTAATCTTCTATAATAAGCCTAAAATAGGCAAAAAAACTAAGATGGCCAAAAATAAATCAGAAACAAAATTCACTAAAATTTAAGTTTTTTTTTTCAATTTATTTTTGCAGATTTTGTTTCAAATTTTTGAAAAGTTTCATTAAAAGTCTGTTTTTCTCCTTAGCACTTCGTGATCGCAACAAAATAGTTTCCGAGGCCAATTGCAGAAAAAATGAATGGTTAATTGTAGCATCTAGAACCAAAATCACAATGAGGTCTCTTCAAACACTTTTTAAATAAGTTCCAATTTTTTTTCGGAGATGTACGTCAATTCTAGATGTAATAATAAGAACGTTGCCAATAAAAAACCTTTTTGAACTTCATGAATGCGTTGATGAGATCTCAAAAAGGTTGATAAAAATCTTGCTAAATTGTTTTTTGAGCGATTAATTTTAACAATTGACAACCTTGCCTTGAAAGTGACTGTGGCTATTTATACAATTGTCAAAATTTTTAAAACACCATGATTGATTAAAGAGCAATTATGATTAAATTTTGAGCATGATTTTAGTCAAAGCTACCATTTTTAAAATTAAACGCAGTGTTCTGGACATAATCTCAATGTAGTGCAGAAACTTCCAGTGTAATGGACAATTCTCAGATGTTAGCAGAATAAATTTAGCGAAAAAATTCAAATTTTTAGTACAACCAGTAAATTTTCTAGCTTAAGCACTCAAATTGATTTGGGGCACAAGAATTGCAACTTCAGCCCAGAGTTTATAGAAGAAACATTTATGGGCGGCATAAATATCTTGTCAAAGTTTTTTAAAGTACAGTTGTTATCTAGCAAATATCTAACAAGATCCTAACTAGATAGCCATGTTATTGTATATGGTAAATACAAAACTGAACATGAATTTGGAAACAACTACAGTTTACTTTTCTAAACAACGGCAGTCTACTGAACCTAATTTTAATGTCCATTTTTGCCTTTTTGTAAAAGTGTTGCCACAATAAAACCAGAAAAATTTGCAGAAAAACTTATAATTTGAAAAACGGGATAACTTTTTTTTAGCAGATAGCCCTGTTGCGTTATGCATTATTTATCAATTCTAAGGGATTTTGTTTTGTCTCAGAAACCGATTATAATCAATTATTGCACCGAACATTTGAAAAATGTGGAGGAACTTTGTATTCGTGTGTTTTCGTGTCTTTTCTGATTTTTTTCCACGCAAAATCAGGTACCGCAATTTAATCATCGAAATGGTACGATTGACATATCATATTAAAACCCTCTAGATGTAATTCGAACGATTTTTTTTAAAAAAAGTGAGAAAAAATTTTTGATTTTCGGTGTAATTTCACGCTAATAAAGTGAGGCTAAGCAAGCTTACAAAAGCTAATTTATGCTTAACATAAATAATGAAAATTTGGTTTTACCCAATTAAGTTGAGTTTATGGAGTTTTTCAGCGGCAATTTTGAAATTCAAAAACATTCTGAAAAAAAATGATTTTTTGAAAATGTTTTTAACTTTTTCGACTTTTGCTGTTTCGTTTTTCTAGTGATTTTTTTTACAAAAGTGTTTTCCAATGGGCCCATTGTTAAGATCGACGAATATGTCTCAGTTCTTTTTTTTCGTTCAGATCTTTTTGTTCGACCAAGCAGAAAAAACGACACTAATTTTAAATTTTTTTTTGAAGACTATGGTCGGAACTATCTGTCCTATTTGCACAGTAACAAGCTATCCTTGCTATCTATTTTATTTAGATGAGGGTTTGCCCACACTGACAAGTTTGAGATTAAAATCCAACTACATTGATTTTTATATAGCTAATATACTGAATAGAAATCGATTTAGGATAGCACATTAAGAAAGATAAATCAATTTAGAAAAGTTTAAATAGATTTTTACTGAAAAATTGGATTCGAATCGACTTAATTAGATTTTTGCAAGGTATTGAAAATCATAAAAATTTCAACAAAACTGATTTATTTGAGCTGTTTTTTTTTGTTTTGAAACTTGAACAAATTTTTTTATTAAAAAAAAGTCCATCAGAGCTACAGAGAGCAAGAGTCACTCAAGGACAGTTTTTTTGGGATCCCTTAAACGCAGTGGTTAGCTTAAAAAAAACTGTCCTCGAGTGACTCTTGCTCTCTCTAGCTCTCATGGAAATTAATTGAGTACACAAATTTGTTCAAGTTTCAAAAAAAAAAAGAACAGCTCAGATAAATCAACTTAAGGGATCCCCTTTCGAGTTTCCCCTTTCAATGCCATCTTTATTATCAACGTTCAATGTTAAATATTGTGATGCAAATACTATATAACTTAGTTTATCAAACTGGAAACTTTCAATTTTGGTGCAAAAAATTTAGATATTAGCTAACCTCATAGTTTATTTTCAGGCGAACCATCCAACCAAAAAATCAATTGAAAAGCATACTTGAAAAATTTATTTCCACTATACCTCTATTGCATGACAGTCTAGAATACCTTGATACAATCTGCTTATAATCTGTATAAAATGAGTTTGCAAAAAGGTTGTTAAAAATAAATTTTTTGTTGCTAAAATTCTGAAAAATGAAACCAAAAAAAAACTATCAAAAAAGGATTTAATTCGATATACAATCGATTGAAATTCATCTATCGATTACATTTTTATGCCAGACTTAATTGATTTTATGTCGATTCAAATTGATTTTTTAGGTCTATGCTACTTTCTTTGTATATACAAAAAAAAAGATTGTTAGCCATTTCTTGTAAGTAAGATTTCTCTGTCCTTTGAATAATTAATCAAACAAGAAGTACTTTCTTTTTCAGTTCTGCTACATCTGTAGACAGATAAATTATATCAATTTATTCACACAAAGCAGATCTTTTTAATTTGGAGGAGTTTCAAGTAGTTCCGTTGACGGTACCATGAATAAATAAGAAATCAACCGTTCCTAAAACAGGCCACATTTTCATTTATTGGCTGGTGGTCCCAATAAAATGCAATTTTTTTTTATCAGTTACAAAGTAAAAAACATCAAATGGATATTCAAGTGTTCAAATAAATTTCTGAGATGTTAAGATTACCTTTTTTGACAGTTCTAATTTTGGTTTCCATAGAAATGGTTCTTTCGTCCGAGGCTTATTATAACACCTCGTTTTGCTGTGACGATGACAGTAATTTAGTGTTTCGTAACTTCACTACAACTGAGTTTAGTTATAACTGGCCTGGTTATGAGGAAACTAGCAGATGGATGCATGGGGCTGTTGAGTCAATTGGCGATCTGATTTTCACATCTGAAGTTCCTCAAGGTATACATTTAGCCCGTCTCAAATTGTATTTTAACGCTCAAGCTCCCGTTTTCTCCGAGTTGGGGTGGGGGTGGCTTGTTGTGGTATGCGATTGATGCCCAGAAAGTTAAAGTTACTTTCCGCGACTGAAATTTCGTAGTCTAGGCAGGGTTTTAAACTTGTGGACGTATCGCATGAAACCACCACCTTTCTGCTTGTAGCCCGGACCCTTTCTGCTTTTATGCGAAAGTGTTGAAATTTGTGGCTAGTTTCAATTTCCCTTAATGTAACATTTTTAAGCAAGAAAAATTCTTACTATTGGTTGTTGAAAAGGGATATTCTCATTAACATTACAAAAAAGTTCTAGCTTTAGATATTTCAGTTACAGCTGTTGATTTTATTTTACACCAAAATTGTTTTTCTGGAAGCAAACATTTAAAAGGTTATTTAACGTCATGTGAAATAAGTTTTAAAGTAATCCCTGTGAAAGGATAGTCCGTTGTTTGTTATTATTAATCACTGATGAAATACTTTGCCTGTTGTTCTGTTTTCAGAAAGGCTGGCGAATCTGTACATTCAAAACAGAGAAAACGAGACTTCTGTCACGATAGAAGATATACGCGAGGTGAGACATAATTTTTTTTGTGTTTATACTTACGATTTTTCATCGGTTTTTATCATTCTTTTTTATCTTAAAAATGTCATAAGAGGTAAATTGATGAGCTAAAACAATTGTTAAAAATGCAGTTTTTTTTTCAAATTTACGAAACGCTAAATTACTCATCGTCACAGCAATTTTTTTTTCAAATCGGTGGTAGTTTTTCAAGATAAGATTCTATAATAATATGCCGTCAAATAATCAATTAACGTTTTAAGAAACCAAATTTTCAGAAACCAAAAATCCTTTTTAGATAATTGTTACGACTTTCGAAAAAAATGACCAACAATTTTTTCTTTTTCTTTTTCTTTTCCAGCTTTACAGCAAAAATCAGGGGCGGATCTAGGATTTTCTCGAGGGGGGGGGGGGTCGGATTTTCAAAAAATTTTCAAAAATTTTGTCGAACTTTTTTTAGGTCGATTCAATAAATTTTCTGCCAAAGCATTGAAAAGACCCTATTTTGGCCAATTTTTCTGCGCCGCAGATAAAATTCTGAAAAAACATGCCCAAAAATGCGTTTTGAGGCTTTTTTGGAAAAGTTTTACCAAAAAGTCGCGTTTTTTCTTCGCGCGCTTCCCCCCCCCCCCCCCCCCCCCCTCAAAATAAGTGTATTTTGTTGCCGAAGGCTCCTTTAGAAAAGTTTTATGGTGAGTCAGCCAAAATGAAAATCTCAAAACAGTACAAAGGGTGGAGCCTATGGGCTATCAGAGGGTCGAATCCCTGAGAAGAAACGTCCCCCCGCCCCCACCCCCTCTAAATCCGCCCCTGGCAGAAATAACTTATTTTTGTTGAGTTACATTGAAGGATAATCTATTTAACGGGTTTCAGGAGTTTCACGAGTATGGTTTCAAGAACCTCGGTTACACTCTCGTGATTGTTTTGGGTTCTCTCTGTTGCCTGATGGTGGTCATGGCTATTGTCATCGTGGCCATACTATGGCGACTGAAGAAAGCGTTTGTGACCTTGAAAGATGGCCGGTGTGGATTTTACTCCCTTTCTGTTCTGATTGTTGCATATTCAATATTAGTCATGTACGTACATTTTGAAAGACAAGTTCTTTTTAACTAACCCGTGAGGAAACCGACTCTGTAAAAAAAATGTGCGACGGATGTTTGCATTAGCTGCGGGGCTTCAAGAAATTTTACAACGCTTTTTAACGCGCTAGAAATCCCAGTTCTTGCAGTTCTACGAAATTGCCGCGACAACTCGCAACAAAAGATAACTCCTAATAAAGGCAACTCGCAAAGTTTAAGAAAAGCGGCAACTCGCAAAATTTAGCAAACAACTTGCGAGTTTTGGTTTAAGATTGCCTGTGGGAGCGCTATGCACGTTTCGCCATTTAATGATTAGTTTTTTGTAAGATAACAACTCTATATGGTCTTTTTTACAAGCCAATCCGCAATCCTTGAACTGTCATGAACATTTTCCTACTACCCAAAAACGTCTGCTAGTGTTTTAATTTAGATTCTCCGCCAAATGTTTTCATGGAATTAAAAACTTTTTACTGCTCTATCTATCCGATTTTACAAGTTTTTTAAAGTTGGTCTGCACAAAAACATTAGAGTCCAGGCTTATCTACTTTACAAACAGATCGAATGAAAATTTAAAAAAGTTTCTCAGCTCATATGTTCTCGTTACAATTTCCTAGCAGGTTATACAACCATAAATTTGGTATCTAAGCCGGGGCGGATTTAGGGGGGGCGGCGAGGGGGGGCGGACGCCCCCTTTCAGGGATTCGACCCCCTGCCGACCCAAAGGGTTCCCCCTTTGATACTTTTTCAGAAATCCATTTTTGGCCGACCGTCCCTAAAATTTTTCTAAAGGCGCCTTTGGCGCCAATATATACTAACTTTGAGGGGGAGCGCGCGCCAAAAAAAAACGCGAGTTTTTTGTCAACATTTTTCAAAAAGTGCCCAAAAACGGCTTTTTTGACTGTTTTTTCAAAAAATTGCATGCGGCGCAGAAATTTTTGCCAAAATAGGGGCAAAACAGTGCTTTGGGAGAGCTCGAAAAATCAATTTGGTCGACCTAAAAAAAAAGGTCGTCAAAATTTTGGAAAATTTTTTGAAAATCCGCCCCCCCCCCCCCCCCCGTTCGAGAAAATCCTAGATCCGCCCCTGTATGTAAGTATACGGAACTGCCAGAAAAATCAATCTGAGAAAGCTGCAAAAAAACTTTTTAAAAATCGTACCACAACAATTTTTAAATTGAATTGCGTTTCACCTAGAAAATTTATAAGAAGTAGGGACAATAAGAAAAAATGAATCAATGGATGAATTTGTTGAATGAATGAAATAAACGTATACAATTTATTGAAATTATTCTCTACAGTATAAAGACGAGACCATGCAAATGTCACGGTGAAAATTTATATTTTAAATCAAGAATAAGACAAGGCACATGATACCACTAGAAGAATAAAATCAACAAGACTGCTCGTAACAGGGCGAAGCCCTGAATGTTTCGACTGCCTTTTAAAGTTTATCGAGCAGTAGTAACATAAAAAAATAAATGTAATGAAATAAAATGAAAAAATTTTTTCTTAAATTTGAATTTTTTAAATGAAATTATCCCCCCCCCACGCTATATAAACTACAAAAGAATAGATTTTGCTCCTTGTAACAAATCAATTATGGCAAATAAGCTTCTTTCAACCAATTTGGAACGATTTCAAGACGGATTAAATCTCCGCTTACGCGTTAATAGCGCGAAACATATCGAGCGTTAATTGTCCCAAGTTGGCCAAAATGGCAATCTTTAAACCCCCGTAACTTTACGAAAAATGATCACAGGTGAAATATCTTTTCAAAATTAAGCTCAGGACAACAATAATTTTTGAATGATATAAAAAAATTTTTGTCAAAAATGGCTAGTTAAAAAGTCGAAATTTGTCTGAAGAAAAAAAAACCCACCCCGAGCACAAATATTCCGTCACTTTCGCATCGAAAGTCGGAACAATAAAAGAATAACATTAAAAAACGAAATAACAAAAATGAAAATGCTGCGCGAATTCGGGCACTATACATTTTTCTAATTATTTTTAATATGAAATTTTAATAGAACAGCCTTTAGACAACCTAATGCATAAGATAAGAGATACTTGCTTGAATGAATGCAACTACTTTAACAGTTTGTTTCATAGATAAAGATTTGTGGCATTTGAAAAAAAAATCATTGAATCATAAAGCGTACACCCGAAAAAAAACAATCATTGTAATCATTAAGTGAAAGTATTCCACGCAAAAAATATTTTTAAATCAGAATTTTTTTTCGAATTTTTTCCTTAACGAAAATGGTAAAAATATGTTGGAGAAGTGAACTAATAAGCTTTGAAATCTATGTTATTTTCCAATCTACAATCTTTCTTTTTTAGTGGATAAATGGTGCTTAGGTTAACCAATCAAGTCTAGATAAGTTTTAATAGAAAATTCTCAGCGATGCATCAAAAGGTTGATTGACATTCTGCGGTTGCTCAATGTGATGTTTTTTCAAGAATAAGTTTTCTGTATGGTTAGATCTTGGAACAAATTTATTATAATTATCCTTTCCTCACTTTCATCAAAAATTGCAAAAGTATTGCTTTGATTGAATTATAACAAAACTACCTGGAGTAAGTGTTCATTTTAAGTTTCTTAGTTTTAGGGTGAAACACTAGAAAAGAACAACTGAAAATCATTTCAGGCCTGCAGTTTACCTCATGAGACAAAACTGGAACGAATTAGAGGACAGTTATCCGGATACATTCATGAGCAGGGTGGGAAACATCAATGAGAATCTCCAGGGCTATATTACATCATCCACTGAAGATGTGGACTCTCTCAGATACGAACAACTCAGTTTCACATTCGAGCAAATTCAGAACAATTTGGACGGTGAGAAGTTTTCATTATGACCACTTGTCAAGTGTTTTTTCATCTAGCAAGTTTTAAGGTATCCCATAACTAAACATAATGATTCCCTAGAGCGTCATGGCGACAACTCGACACCGCTGTCAGTTTGGCACCGTTATAAAGGCGCAAATTTGTCCTAAGAAAGTTTCATCCAAACTAATTGCTGAAATAATTCCATGAAGCATTTCGGTGTCCCATATTTTAATCCTTCATGATTTCACCCCCAATTTTGCCCAGCAATAATCCCCCCCCCCCCCCCCCGGATGCAATTTACTTTCATTTAAGTTACGAACTCATTGCAAGTTAAGATTCTTATCACTACAAAAGAAATTTTCCTCTTTAAGTAGTCTAATTGAAGACAGAGTACCGACTCTAAATTCACCTGATACTCATATAGTTTTGTATTTTTTGAGAGTGAACAAATTACTTTGTGAACTTTTTCGTATAGAAGTTTTTTCAATTTTTCTTGAGAGGAATTCAATAACTTATCCAGGGACTCAAATAAAAAAATGCCGATTTCACCGAAACATGTTAGTGAAAGGTTTTTGACCAAGTATGTGAAGTGTTTTCAAACTAGGCAGACTTATTATTACAAAACGCTTTGTTGTCCCGGCCATTGAAAATTGGGAGAAACTTTCTATCCGGGGCTGTTTTAGCTCTTTTGTCCCGACCATTGAAAATGGGGAGAAACGTTGTATTCGGGTCTGTTTTAGTTTTTTTGTTTTTCACGCAAAATCAACTGCCACAAATATTGATAACTCTGGGCTGAGTGATAAACCATATTAAAGCCCTTACAGTCATTACGAAGCCAAACTGTGCGCTGGATAGACGCACAATTTTGTGTCTGTATGTTCCTGGATTCCAAAGACAATTCTTTAAACATGTTAAAATTTTGTCGGAACGATCAAAGAAAATAAAAGAACAAAAGAAGAAGAACAAAGGGAGCTTCCTTGTTGTGGAATCGGCTTACAATTCACAAAATACACAGTTTTGCCTCGTGATGAGTCTTATTCGCACCACATTAAAAAATTTGAAAAAAGTTTTCCCAGTAATGAGAAAAACCAGTTTGAAATTTTTGATTTTTTGTCCTATTGCAAGCGATTGAAGCGAGCGAGCAGTCTTATATTAGTTACTTAAATGCTTAGATTAGCTTAATTTAAAAGATAGGAACATAGTTTTACTTGGTATTGTTAGTTTACTATGAGTATTTCAGAGCCTTTTTGTAATCAAAATTTTCAAAAAATTCAAAAAACTGCAATAAACTTGAAAAAATTTTCGAAAATTTTTGTCGAATTTGTTTTTGTTTTTAGAGTAATTTTTCTAGAAAAACTGTTTTTCAATTTGCTTATTTTGGCATTTCTGCATAATGTACCAATACGATGTTTCGTCTTATTTCGAGCGATTGAAGTGAGCGAGCAGTCTTATTTTAATTTCTTAAAAGCTTAGATTAGCTTAATTTAGGAGGTATGAACTTAAATTTTCATGGGTAACGTTAGTATACTTTGCGTATTTTAGCGCCTTTTTGGAATCAAATTTTTCAAAAGTCCAAAAAACTGTAAGCAAATTAGAAAATTTTTGAATTTTATTCTTGTAAATTTTCTAAAAGTTATTTTAGCGTCGCTGTCGAATATACCTTGTCCCCAGTTTTTTTGCTCAGCTCCTTTTATCACACCACGCCAAAAAACGACAATAATTTGTAAAAACTGTTGTATTTTTAAGAATATGATTGAAACATTTTGTGCTACTTGCACAGCAACCGGCTATCCTTGTTTTTCATTAAACTATGGCCAAAACTCTCTAACAAACGTGTTATCGAGTTTAAAAAAAGTCAGTTCCTAAATTTAATGCAACCTGAAACGTAAGCAAGTTTACCTACAAACTTTTATGTCTTACATCAACTTATGATCAAGAGTATGAGTTTCTGTCCTAAATATTTTGAACCCTTGATTTCTATCAGTCATCTGACCAAAATACTCCATTTTAGCTTAAGTGTGACTTAAAAAAACAAATAATTGAAACTTTTGCTTATCATTTTGAACGAAAATTTAGAAAAAAACCAGTTAGGAGGTTATACTGGTTGCTCAATGAGAAATTAAAACATCTTCAACAAACTACAAAGACAAAGGACTAACATTTTCCTTCTTCAAAGTGCTTTTGTTCTTTTTAAAAATCAAATTCATCACGAAAAAATTTATACTCGGAGTTAGAAAAAGCTTATTGCTAACGGCTCAATACCGGAATAATTTACCTCGGAGGTGATGTTCTTGTTGTGACGGAAAAAATTGACGAAACCACAAAAATTCAAAAATTTTGTCGACCCTTTTTAGATCAATCAAATTGATTTCCCGAGCGCTATCATAAGACTATAAAGATCCGCTTTTGACTAAAACAAAAACAGGTCAAAAATTGCAATTTTTTGGCACTTTTTTCGAAAATATTGACAAAAAATTTGCGTTTTATCGGCGCCCCCTTAGAATTAGTATATTTTGGGCGTCCGCCCTTCCCCCCCTCACCCCCACCCCCCTAAATGCACTCCTTAACTGAGATAAGAAGTCCGGTGAGATCAAAAGATAATTAGATCAATCAAGATAGACAGTTGCTGTACCAGTCTACCAGAATGATCTGACCACAATTTGTTGTGACAAAATACTCGAAATTTTTGAGTTTAGGTCGTTTGAGCAGCGGAAGGGGAAGGTTGCAATCAAAAACAGTAGAAATTAATCAAGCAAATTTAATTAAAGTTAAGCAAAGTGAAAAGAAAAAAAACAAAGATGCTCCGACATTTATAGTCCAATTTTGCTCTGAATCGATTTCAACAGCCAAAAGCTAAGACCATTTTAACAATATTGAAAAAATAATTTAAGACATCTTTTAAAGAATTCTACTGAAGACCAAAAATATTTTATTCTGATAAATTTTTGATATATACGCATTACGCTATGATTTTTTCCCATATTGTGATTTGATCGGAGCCAAAAAAACTGCATTCACAAAGGTTTTTATAGCCAATTAAAGCTATTTTAATTATTTTTCTTAGGTTATCCTTCTCTTTAATTGCAAAAAACACGATCAAAAATTTTTTTAAGCTAAAAAACCGGCAATTCTTGTTGTTCCAACCACTGAAAACGGAAAGAAACTTTGTCTTTGGCTGTTCAAGTTTTTGCAACTTTTCGCTGGTGCTTTTTGCACATAAAATTAAGCATCGCAACTAACCTTAGGAATGCATCGAGTGCTACATCATATTGAAAACACTTTTATTTGTAATGTGAACTGTATTAAAAATCCCAATTCTAATAAACTATCAGTAACGCAAAAATGATATAAATGTTTTGTTGTTTAGTCGGATTTCGAGCGAATAATGCAAGCAAGCAGGCTTGATGAAGGGCGATAAGCTATTGCTTAATGCCTTTGTCGGCTGTAATTGTTCCGATCATTGAAAATTGGGAGAAACGTTGTATTCGGGTATGTTTTAGATTTTTCTTTCTTTTTCTTTTCGTTCTCTACGCAAAACCAAGTAACGCAAACAATAATCGAACTGGGTTGAATAATATATCATATTAAAGCTTTTTCATTCGCGGTTTGAACCACATTAGAAAAATTCCCATAAAGCTTTTCTAGTGTTCAGAAAAACCGTTTTGAAATTTTTGATTTTTTTTCCAATTTCGAGCATCGAAAGCCAGAGAGCAGGCTTATGTATGCTTATTGTTCCGATCATTGCAAATGGGGAGAAACTTTGTGTTCGGGTAAAATTTATTTTTTTTTGCTTTTTTGTTTTCCACGCAAAAATATCAGGTGACGCAAATAATGATCGAACTGGGTTGAGCCTTTTTAGTCATAATACGAACCACATTTTAAAATTTTCAAAAAGATATCCCTGTGTCGAGAAAAAGCGGCTTGCAATTTTAAGCTTTTTGTCTTAATTTGAGCGAATAAAGCAAGTGAGCAGGCTTACAAGCTGAAATACCTAATTTAACACTTTAAAACTTAGTTTAAGCAATTAAAACTAGTTTTGGAGTTTTTTAGTTTCATTTTGGGAACCAAAAACTTCAAAAAAACTCAAAAACTTTCTGTAAAACTTTTTGAAAATTTTTTCTACATTTTTTTTCTACTAATTTTTTTACAAAATTTTTGTCCGATTCGCTCGTTTTAATATGAGTATTCAATATGCTTAAATTATATTTTTACGTCAGATCTTTTTATCACACCAAGCAGAAAAAACAACACTAATTTGAAAAGAAAACTTAACCGTAGTTTTCTAAAGACTATGGTCGAAACATTCTGTACTACTTGCACAGTGACCGGGTATTCTTGTTTCTTTTTCTTTTTCTTTTCCACGCAAATACCACAAATAATTCTTGGAATGGGTCGAGAGGTATATTATATTGAAGCCCTTTCAGTCGTGATTCGAACGGCATTAAGAAAATTCCAGTCAAAATTGGAGCAAATAATGCAAGTTGTGCCGCACTCTCGTATCCTGTAAGATCTAAAAAACCTGGTTCAACATCTGTAAATTATCGGCAATTTAAACAGATAATATGACAATATAAAGATAATATAAAATAAAGCAAACATCAGTTTAACATTTTCGGTTAACATGTTATCAAACGGTTTTTCAACAATCTCAAAAATCTATAAACATTTTGATGGCAAACTGACCTTAATCGGACAAACCAGTAGTTTTCAAGGCCTTTTGTCTAAGCAAATCTAATTTTAGCTTTTTCACTTTCGCGCTATAATGACGTCATTAATTTAAGCGCGAACATCTTCCGCGCCCAAAGGAGCAAAAACGGGTGCGAGTTTTACGGCCGGTTGAGTTAGCTCCCCGGAGCGGGTGGTAACTACGGCAGATCGGGCTATGTTGTCTTTTCCGTAATTAAGGGTTTTTATACGAGCCAGAGGGTAGTGTCCCCTTGGGCTGCGTTCGTCAACAATCCACACTAAATCCCCTGTTTTTAAAATAACGTCACTATCGGAGTACCACT